CATGGAATGATATAATTCAAGCCCTGACACTTCAAATCACTTGATGCAGACTCAAATCCTCTAAGTCCTTTCTGACACCAGTAAGGCACCCCATGACTCCCCAAAGTGTGACTAAAGAGCTGTGAATGCATTTAGAGTCTATAAAAGTAGGACATAATCAAATCTTTTAAAATAAGGAAATGACACGACCAAAAGTATGTTTTGAAATCTAAACCTGACGAAACAAGTGGGACAACTGAGAGAAGAAACCGGTGGCAAGTACAGTAGTGAAGCCAGTGCAATAGTCCAAAGAGTGACCAAGGAACACAGAGGACACAGGCCATAATTCAGGCAGCATGTGATAAATACCAACATAAGGATGGTGGAGTGGGAATAAAATAAGTTACCACACACTAGGATGTCTGCAGGAAGAACGGACCATGGGGAGAAATTTTGATGTGGTCTTAGCCGTCCATGTGGTTTAGCATTCAGCAGTCAGGGAGTCTCTCAGACCAGATTTCTCATAAGCTGTTCACTCTCATGTTGAACAAAATAGATACAGGATTTTTATATCCATAAGTTCACTTCATTAGCATAAGCTAGAAAGTTATGAATAAGATGACTTTTTATTCACCTTACCTAAATTATAAAACTCAAGGTTGGGTTTAAGCCTACCATATGGATAAGGGAGCACTGTAGCCCTTAAGTGTCTTTCGGAAGTTCCCATGAAGGGCATTAGAAGTTTTGTGAACACATTAGAAAGCAAACTTGGGGCCAGAGTATGCATATTCAGCAGACCTGCCTGGATTCTCAATTCTAGGAAACTAAAAGAGATGAAGATGTGCCTCCCAGGAACGAAGCACACCATTCATTATTCAGCTGAAGAAAGAGATACATGGCTCCAATGGCGGAATTGAAAATTGCCCAGCATTACAATCAACAGGATAAGCTAGAGGTGGCGGTTGGCAGTACAGGAACAGAAAGGTCCTATTGGACTTGGTTCCAAGAGCTTTTCCAACTGAGGTTTTAAGGACTGAGTCCCGTTTCCCCTAGAAACAATGCTGGAAACTCTATTTGGGAGAAGAGTACAGCTCAGAGAGGCCATGAAAGCCCATCTACCCTACATTGAGATCAACTATGATACTAACCAACCCAGGTTGGATCTGGGAAAAGGAGGCTCTCTCATATGTGATGGATGATGGAAGTGAACACATTTCTATCCTCAGGCTTCCTTTTGACTACTCTAGACAAAATTTAGACCATGGCAGGAAGAAATATAGAAGTCAAATTTGACCCAGCCTTTCTATCTAAGCTGACCTACCCTTTCCAATAGTTCTCACCATAGATCCCATGTTCCCACAGATGTTCATTATCCCTATTCTGCCCTGATATTCCTGACCTTCAGTGTACACCATGACCCTAAATCACCTTTGTTCTCTAATCCCCAAAAGCCAAAGTTTGGCTGCATCACTTACTATCTCTGTGACTTTGGAATTGTTCTGATTTGTTTTTGAAACAGATTCTCAGCATGTAGCCCAGGCTGGCCTCAAACTCTCAATCCTTCTTCCTCAGCCTCCCTTCTGCCTTGGCTTCCCAAGTGCTGGGATTACAGGCATGCTCTACCATACCTGGCCTGACTTTAGAAATTTTTAATTACCCAAGCCTCCACCTGTAAAATGGGGACAATACATCACTAATAGGATTAATCTGAAAATTAAATGAAAGAAGTCTATATAGTATGCTTAATACTGTGTCAGACACTCCACAGCTTCTTAGTGACTCAGTAGCTTCTCACTGCTTTGATTTTAAAGAATGGTACATTTTGTACTTTTAAAACTACACACATCTGTGATTTCTTGTGTCAAAGAGTTATTAGATACGAATTATAATTTTAAATGTCTAAAACATAGCCAATTCTTATGTCTCCTAAAAATCCTTAAAAGAATACCATTTTTTCTAACACCTGCACACAAATTGCATTTACATTGCTTCTCTCCATTCTACCCTCACCCCATCACTAAACAGCCTCAAAATCTAAATCAATCTGAACGCCCATTTCCAAAACACACAGGATGATATGTGAAGATGACTGTACTCCCCCCATAAGTAAATTACCATTTAAAATGCTGAGCTGCATTTTACGCAGTGTTTTAAATAATGTAAATCACAACACCCTCTCTTTGATATTAAGAAAGAAGTCTTAACTATTACTTCAGACCTGGTCATCTACTAGTAATATTGACTGATAAAAAAGACTGCCTGAAAAAGTCACATTTGAATTTTTATAAGTAGTAAATATTTATGGAGACTAAAGATAATGGTGGAAACTACACCCAGGTTAAATGCCTATTTCTACCCTCCACTTTGAAGCTCAAGAATCTTAGGACTAATTCTGAATTGTGAAATTGGAGTCTGTCCCCAGCCAGAGTGGCAGACTTAATGCATCATTAATCTGGTCTGCTCTCAGCTGCCAATTGAAATAGTCACAGTCATTCGATTTTTAAGGAAAAAACAGTACTGCAGAAGTACATTCCAGAGGTCTTTTCATAAAAACCATCCTGTGTGCTCCATCTGCATGTGCAATCTGCTAGTGGATTTTCAGCCAGCTTGCATGGGCAGATTAATGCGTACAATTAGAAAGCAACCTCACAGGCATTCAAAAAACTGCCTTCATTATTACACTCAGGAGAGTCCCTTTGGATGTCAATAAAAGCCTAGTTTTCTGCCTGTTAGCTAAATAATTGACAACACTAAAAATAATCAGAAGCAAATGAACAGAGTCAGGAACAAGGTGTAAAGAAAGAGAGCATTAGAATTCTCACGGTGGTGCCGCAGGTGGCCATCAGGTGCCTTTTCTCCAGCAACTTGGATTTACAGTCTGCTCAAGTCCATGGTTACCCCTATCTACAGGAAAAACACATTGTTCCTGATCTGTTGTGCGAGCCACATATCACAGCATGCTGGAACTAGCAAGGTACTGACTTGTTTGTAAGAATTTCTTATTTTGTGAACCTTCGTTTGACAGTTTCAGGAGAATCTAATTTAAAGGGTGGGAGGCAGGCAGTCTGGCTGGTGTGGTGAAATTTTGTGCTGTTACAATTCTAATAACTTTCCTAGACTTTTTTTTTCCCCTACATAAACTGGTTCTAAGCAAGTATGATAAAAAGTTGCTATACAGAGGATACACCTTTTCTAAGAAGTCCCTTTCATATTTCTGGCTATATACTGGTCATTCATTTCATGAGCTATTGATCTTTTAATTTCAAAGGTAATTCAAAGCACAATGCTCTTAAAAGAGAAAAAGCACACATCTATACCTCTTCTTGTATTCCTCAATAGGCTTTAAAAATCAATTTGAGATACTTCTCATTTTTAGGCAACTTCTTTTTTTCCTGGTTAACTGGGACTCTCATGATAAGCAGAAGAAAGAGAAAGAGTGAAATGTGCATGTAATTGAATTCATCTTCACAGATAGTATGCAAGGTGGCTGAGGGCAAAGCCTTCTTCTCTTCTTTACAGAAAAAGGGCAATTGATCTTTAGTATTTTGTAAAACAGAAACTCAAGAAGCTGGAAGACTATGAAAGAAAGAAAGCTGAACAGCATAACCTCCAACTTTTGAAAACTCCAAGAATCTCTCCTCTTGCAACTTGCCATGTTTTAAACGTCCCAGAGAATGAACTATTTCAGTCCTGTATTGAAGACCCCTCACTGGTAATGGGGAGACCCTTTTCCAATGTAAAACTAGTACATCACAGATGAATACATTTTTTACTTGTGGCTTCAGGTAAACTAGTACCAATGCTGAGGCTAACAGCACTCCCATCCCATTCCATGCCACCCCATCCCCTACCCATTTTTTCATCTGGATAGCAGAGGCCAAGAGCAATATAGAGGGTTGAGAAACTTCCATTCCCACCTCTGAGTCTTAAAACAAGAAGGAGATGCTTATGACAGAGACAGGAAAATTTTAGCACTATGAAAAAACTAGAGGATGCTATGCTTAGAGAAGAAACATGCTCTCAGGTGTGCAGCTCAACCTGCGAGTGACCATAAATGTAAATGAGAGACAACAGTGGGAACCAAGAACAGGAAGCAGTTAGCTATGAAAGTGGGAGGCTATTACTAGTGCTAGTCCCTACAAAATGGTCCCATCCAACAAGAACTTATGTTAAGAAATATGTCGAGTCTCCATAATAACCACGTACTTTACACCATTTAGATATGTTCCTTAATCCTTATAATTGGCTTGTGGGATAGATATTATCATCCTTATTTAGAAAATGAAGATCAAATGAATAAATTATTGATATTCAAAGAGGTCTAATTGTCCAACCTCACATCTGAAGAATGGAGCTAATATTTTGAACCCAAATCTGCTCATAATTAGATTTAACAGAAAATGCTTCTTTGGCTTTGTCTTCTATTAATCTAGCTTGGTAACCTAGCTACTAAGAATTAGGACATGAACTTATCCTTAAAGGCTATATAACAGAGTAGATTATCTATATTATTAAACACATCATAGTTGTCCTAATATGGTAACATATATTAACTGCTATTATTCACAATCATACTGGAAAAATTACCTTGGGATATGGTCACTAATTGGAAATTTTGACAATAACTGATAAATTGTATCTCAATTACCAACTAGAAAATATAATAAACCATTAGATAAATTCCTAATTAGATTATATTCTGCTTAGGTATTTCATTCTAAATACTTTCCTCCTTATATTGGCATTTTGGAAGTCAACATAATCAGAAGTACCTAGATCACCAAAGAATCAAGCCCTCCAAGTTATTTGTTGTGGTGAATGCCTCAAATTCAGTAGTATTATTGCTAATCAATTCTCTACTAAAGAATACTTTGATGAGTATAGATGTCTCCAACCTTAGAAACTCACATGATGACAGCCAGTAATTTAATACCAGGTGTTTGAAAAGTTACCAATATCAAAAATTCAAAAGTTGAATGTGTAATGTGCCTATAAAAGAAGTTCTGAAAACGTAAACTTACTATTGATGATGCTCTCTAAATGCTTCTCTTCTCATGTTTTCTTGAAGTCTCTTTTTCTCCTCTAGTTTATTGCTCTGAAATTACAAATACCAAAATGTACTCTATTAAGTAAGATTTAGGTAGAATCATGATATTGAAGTTTTCCAAGTTCTCAAGTCCTTGGGTTCTAGTGGCCCCAGAAATCCCAAGATGGTCTCCCCTCTCAGAACCTATGAATACTACATGGAAAACCAGGAACCCCAAGTTCTTTCCCTAGCTCCCCTCTCCCAGCTGGACTGGTTTAATCACAGAATCAACATTGCACATTTTTATTTTAGTTCAAATGATCAAATGATGGCAAAATTTGGTTTTTTAAGCAGTGTTTTCAAAATGTTCCAATTGGAAACATGAAATTTCCATACCAAGTATGTTAAATGCAAATTATAATAAATGGCTAAATAGTGCATCAAAATTCATATATACACCCATATTCTACTAAAGCATTCAGGAAAAGAATTTCACTAAACTAACCCAACTCTCTTCTGATTTAGTATCAGATACTTAAAGCTGTGGAGAACATATGTCCTTTAAAAAAAATCCACTTGAAAAGAAGAGTTCTTTTTTTTTTTTTAGCTGTTTAGAGAGCCCAGAAAAAAAGGACTGCATATTTGATATTACTGTCACCATGACTCTGGCATATTTAAATCTTATTTAAATTAAAGCAAGTGAAAACATTTGCTTTTTGCTCACCATGACACAAGTGTCATTTCTTAAACTTGCCTAAGAAAAGTAGGTAAAATTCTTAGACAACAAATTTAGTAGGGGGTTGGAAACAAGATCTACAACACAGGAGAAATATGGAGTTAAATGAATACACGAGAGAGCAAGCAGCTGGGTCTAATAAAAAACTGGATTTGCCCAAAGGAGAACCGGTGAAAAAGAATGATAGAAATTATAACTTTTAGGTCAGGCACTTGTGGCTCATGCCTATAATTCTAGCTATCCTGGAGGCAGAGATCAGGAAGACTGTGGTTCAAGGCCAGCCTGGGAAAATAGTTTGGGAGACCCTATCTTAAAAATACACAATACAAAAAAGGTCTGGTGGAGTGGCTTGAGTGGTAGGTCGCTTGCCTAATAAGCATGAGGCCCTGAATTCAAACCCAGTCACTTTTAAACTGTTAAGTTTGGCTCCCTCTTTCAAGGAGAAAAATTTCTTATTGTTCATTTCCATGAAAGTCTTCATTCACCACAATTTTCTCATTTTGACAGGTAAAATGGATGATGATTTTGGTTTAAAAAAAAACTAGGAAAATTTCTAGAGTCAAAGAGAATCAATTGTAAAGCAAGTAATTGAATTATTAACAAAACAGAATTCTAGGAAGAAAACCAACGGAAAATTCTAAGACCAAATAAGCGTGATAGTACTCCTGTATCATGAGCTCATGTAAGTGTTCAATTGTGACAAACTCCCTATATCCCTGGGGCTGGGGTAGGGATGTAGGAGAAGGGAGAGCAATCAAGAGTCAAAGATAGCAAGCAAGTAATATGTATTGATTAAACCTATGTCAGGAATGTTCTTTTGAGAATAATGAGAAAGTCACACAAACATCTAGATTTAAAGGCTGGGCTCCTTTAGTTAGGTCAGCAATTGAGAAAACCAGTTTTAATCTCTTCACAATAGATTCCAACTCACAAAATAGCTGCTATGGTAGCTAAATTTAAGTAATGAAGGTCTGTTTATTCCTCAATAGAAGCCAACAAAGAAGTAATTTTGCAGAATACTAGAGTATTTAAGAAATTGTATTCAGTACCTACCAATGTAGTTACCAATTTTAATATATTAGTCTACATACTTAGTCAGATTTCCTTTCCATTTAACAGTGAGTTAAAGACTTGCACAAATATACTTACACACACATACAAATATAGAATGTAACATATCTAAGAACATGTGACCCAGACAAAGAAGATATGGAATCAGCTCCAGTTCACCATTTCTGACTGGGTGACAAGTCATTTAATATAGCATTTATCCAACACCTATTAGATGTTTGGTTCTGTTGGATGTTGGCAATACAGCTATGAACACAGCAGTGCCTACCTTGGAAATTTTCAGAACCTAGTTCAGGATATGAAAAAGAAAGCAAGAGGGTAGTATGTTAAATCTGCTAGAGAAGAACAGTCTATAAGTAATGTGAAAATAGAAGAAAAACGCAGAAGCTGACTGTCAGGAAATGCTCTCCACAGTTCCACCAACATTTGCTCAGTGACTAAGAAGGGGCAAGCTCCATCCTAGGCAGAGCCAAGAAGCTGAATAACATTCAGAATATGGTTTCTAATCTCAGGTTCATGGCTGAGCTATATGTTGGGAAGACATATTTTTATAGAGAGTGAGCTCAGAGCTTTCTTCGGTTTTAATTAACTTAAATTCATCGGATTTAAGTTACATATATAGAAAACATCTAGGAAGAAATCATGCATATAGTATAATACATTGTTCTTAGATTCGGAAATATGGTCTACCTAAAGATATGATTTTCAGAAATAACCACCACAAGTAGTAGCTAAATCCTTATGTGTGGGGGCTTTCCCCTAAGAATGGGGGCATAGGCAAGAGGTATCAGAAAAGACCTGGTAGAATATCAATAATAGAACAACACGTGGAGAAAAAAAGAGCCATAGGAAACCTGGAGGAGTGGAGCTTAAAGAATACAGTATTTAATAATTAATAAGCTAGAAATTGAAGAGTCTTCACTGGATTTCTCAATCAAGAACACCAACAGTGATCTTGGCTAGATCTATGCCAGAGGAATACTGGAGACAGAAGAAACCCAACTAAGCCCAGTACAGAGTAAGAAAAGGAGTCAGAGAAGTTAAGTTCCTGAGCCAGTTGAGCAGTGTCAACCTGGGGATCATTTTTTAAAACGCTGACTGATTCAGATGGTTGTGGAAAAGTCAGTACACAGACTGACATTTGGAAATCTTATATTATAGAGAAGACTCACAAGAGTCTTCTCATGCCAATGTCTCATGCCTTTAATCCTAACTGTTAGGGAACCAGAGATTGGGAGGATGAGTTTGAGGTCAGCCTGGGCAAAAAGTTCATGAGACCCTATCTCGTGAAAAAAAAAGCTGGACATGGTGGCATGTAAAGAAGTGTAAAATAGGAGACTGTGGTCCAGGCTGGCCTGGACAAAAAGCGAGACCCTACCTCCAAAATAAACAGATCAAAAAAGGCTGGAGGTGTGGCTCAAGCAGTAGAGCACCTGTCTAGCATGCATGAAACCCTGAGTTCAAATACCAGTATCACCAAAAAATTAATAAGTAAGTTGAATCATGATGCCTGGGATAGAGGCATTGAAAGTGAATGAGAATACAAATTAATTGTTAAAATGAGAGACATATACTGAGAGAGGAAAATCCACAAAAAAATACAAGAAAGTTCCAGGAGAAACGGAGGCCTAACTGATGGAACAGGGAGACCCCTGAGGAGTTGAGAAGGAAAATGAAATGGTGAATGCAGGTGGAAGAAACCATCAGAGCAAACAGGAAAGGCACCATCTTTGTCCTCTTAAGATGTAATTGGGAATTGAAGTAGCAAAAAGTCAGGAAACAGGAAAAAAAAATATCTAAGGCCTGGTGACCTTTATTTCATATTAAGTGGCAGGTGACATGGTGCTACAAATGGAAGGATAAGAAGGCTGTGGAGTGAGAAAGTTCTTGGTAATCGGCTGGGCTTGGGATGGACAGGAAAAATGCTGAGCATTGATCATTGTTACAGGCCCAGCTGAGATGGAAGCCCAGAAATCTGCTGTGGCCAAAAGCAGCCGTGTGTGTTTTTTCTCCAACAATATCATTCACCTAGGTTTAATAAAAATGAAATAATTGAATCATCAAATCCATGCATTTTTTAAAAAGAACAATCCTCTTGGACTGGGGGCGTGGCTCAAGGGGTAGAGCACCTCCCTAGAAGTTCAAAGCCCTGAGTTCAAAACTCAGTACCACCACCAATAATAATAAATAAAAATAATGACAATCCTCTCCATGGTTTCCTTATAAAAGGCTGATAAACTAAAGTCAAGTGAGATAGTGGGAAAGCACTTCTTTGCATTTATAACTAGGTTAGGGCACCTTTACTGAGTGCTCAGCAAGTGTGAGACATTGTACTAAGGGCTTTACAGACATAGTATTCTTAAGCAAGTCATTTAATAAATTAGAGTTCCAATTTCTCTGACTGTTTAACATGGATACAGTAGTAATAACTCACAGGTAGCTGTTCTCATCTGTTTAATCTCAATTCTCATTATTATTTTACCCATTTTACAAGTGAAGCAGGAGGAAGATGACAGCCTGTACTCTTACTACCACATCTGCATTTCAGACATAGCATTCACATTACAACAGTATGGGATAGAACGAAATCCTACTGCATATCAACAACCCAAGGTTTAATGCCTCCACCAATACATACTCAAAGGAATGGAGAATGTGAGGTAACCATATTTCTTGGAAATACTGGTGTTCCTTGACAATTTTCACAAATGGAAATAACTCCCAGTTTATAATGCAATATTGAAATAACTTCCCCAATGTTAAGTTTTATTCCTAAAATTGCTCTTAAGCCATTAGCCCTTGCTAGTACTTGTTTGCTAGAAATAAGAAAGCAACAAGTATGATTTCCTAAAAATATGGATATTTATGCATCTTTGCATCTAATATGCATAACTTATAGTCTACTGGTTAGTTTTCATGTATACAGGGAAGTAGGAGCTAGCAATGTTTCTTAGTGTCTACATAAAACACTGCAACTTCCAGTGTTCCAAATGACTTTGGCAGTCATAGCTTAGTGGAAAGAAAAATAAAAGGTCTGGATGCCCCCCAAATCTCTTACTGGTTTCTTGTACTTTCTGAGGTTATGATACCCTAAGAGTTTGAGAAAATCAAATGGAAGTGTTTAGAAATGGCATAGCACAGGAAGCTCAAAAAACTAAACTCCCCCAAAATATCAGTGATGCAATGAAGAAATGGGCAAATGAACTGGACAGAGCCTTTTCAAAGGAAGAAATCCAAATGGCTAAAAAAAAAAAAAAAAACA